TTTTAAAAAAAATATTGTATCAATGACCTGCCTTTTTGTAAAAATTAAAAAATATTTTTTTTTATACAATGATAGATTCCAAACGAATACACCATGTATAATAATTAAACATCTATATATATATATAAAGAATTACCATTTTTCAAAAATGACAATTCAATTTTTGGTCAAACCCTTGTCTGCATTAACTGCTTTCCATTAATAGCAATTTTTCTTTTTTTTTTTTTAGCAAAAACAGACCAACATTAATTGATGTCCTTAAAATGTGGAAGTTGTTGCTTTATTTTTGTACAGAAAATCACGCTTCATTATAAGAATTTGTTCCATTGCTCAATGAATTTGTTGTGATATAATTATTTTTTTTTCTGGGAACATTTTCTTAACAAAAAATATGGCATTTCAATGAGATTTTTTCTCCAATTCGCGTGTTTCCCTGAAATATGATAAAACAAAATCATGAAACAAAAATGTAAATAAATCACATTTGTTAAACATCAATTTTGGATACATAAAATAAACAATATCAGATGCAATAAATGTGATACATAATAAATAGGATACAAATCAATTTATACATATCATGTCACCACACTAATCACGATTGGTACTAATTAATCTATACATATCACATAACCACACTAATTTGGATACATAAAAGAAACAATATCAGTGGCAATAATTAACAACGAATATATAATTTTTACTTTTTGTTTAAACAATAGATAACATAAAAGATATAAAAGTTATTTCTCTAAAAATAAAATTGTCTTCGATGAAGCATATGTTAAAAAATACATTTTGTCAAATTAAATTTATATATATGATTTCCTATGATACTAAAGTTGTGATACATAAATCCATTCAATATGAAAAAAAAAAAAAATCATGGGTACTATACCAAAAATTCTATCTTAGTAATTTTTCCAAAATTTTTTAAAAATCCCGCTATTGATTCATTAATTTCGAATTTTAAAATCGTTTTGAATTCATTTTATAGTAAATTTCATTAATTATAGAAACAAATTTGATTATGCTTCAATATAAAAAATATATTCTCTAATTAGTTGATTCAGCCGCACATTCCAAATATTAGAATTATAAATTGCAATTAGCCTATGATATTTTTTTCATTTACGGGATTTAGTAATTGAGGTAATCTTTATATTTTAAATTGAGATATTAAAGCATACATGTAATCATCCACATAGCATATTTGTGTTTCATGTAAACTCCTTATTATGCGCAACTATTTATAAAAAATGGTTTGTATTTTTCCGTAATTAATGGTTATAAAAATATTATCAAGACTAATTTAAATTAAAATCGGTTGAAATTAAATTATATATATATATATATATATCTACATATATATAAAAAGAATTACCATTTTTTAAAAATGACAAGTCAAACTGTGGTCAAATATGGTTGAGTATTAATTGCATGCTATTAATATATAGCAAGTTTTTATTTTATTTTTTTATTTACACATATGCATCATTAATTGTTGCATTTAAATGTGGAGTTTGTTAAGTGAAGTTTGTTACTTATTTTTGCTCAAGATTAGGCTGTTCCTTTTTCATTTTCACAAACTTTTAAAAAAAAAACTTTCTTTAACATATAATTGTGTACCACATTGCAAATTTTATTTTATTACAAAAATAAATTACGCCTAACTTAATAATATAAACTTAAGTTAGTATTTACAAAAAATCAGAAACTCTTTTTAACATCAACTCGGCTACTACAATTGTTTTAATTGGATACTTTTATTTTTAAATAAAATAAACTACTGTTCATTTAATAATCAAAATATACAATATTTTTATTCTATTTTTTTTATATTTTTTTATATATAAAAATAACACAAAACTAATCTAATTATGAAATCGTCAACATTTTATTTGCACAAGAACGGGTTGTAACATTTTCATTTTCACAAATTAAAGAATTTTTGTAACAGAAATAAGATTACCAAATTGCATTATTTTTTTTATATAAAGAAATTACGACTGATTAAATAATAAAAAAAACTTTAGTATTTGCAAACAATTTGAAGCCTTTTGAACATCAAATCGGCTAATACCATTAAATTAATGAATTCTTTATTTTTTTTTTTAAAATACCGATTTCTAAATTTGCGGTTGATTTAATTTTCAAAAAGAAATTTTTTTGATAACAGAAAATCGTGAATCACATTGCAGCCTAGATTGGTGGATTTGGTTCCATTAAATTCCAGAAATTTCGATCATTGAATATAATTTGAAATTCAAAATCCTTTCTCATTTTTGATTTAAAAAATTCGATTGTGTTTTTTTTATTCCAAACAATCAGATTGCCGAAAAATTACATTCTTGAATTGAAAATTTGAAATTCAAAATCACTTCTCATTTCGGTTGCTATAAAATTGGGCTTAGTTCAAAATCTCTTCCTAATATAAAGGATTTTGTTCAAATTGAACAAAAAAATCTAATCACATGCTTCTATCCTTGGACGAATAACCTTAATGAAGGATTTTGTGTCACTTTAAAAATTAACAAACCTCTTGGAAATTACAAAATCATAATAAATTTCAAAATTTTTGGTTTCATTTTGCATGAAATTCAAAATGGTTTAAGAATTTCAAATCAATTGAAATTCATCTCTTTAATTTTTTTTCCATAAGTTTAAAAAATTTACAATAATTAAGTCAAATTACAAATGTATTGTTTCAAAAATCAAGAGGATAGTTTTGAAAATAGCCTTTTTTTTTTT